TTCATACACTTCTTTGTTTTCCTTCTTCAATAAAACGTAAATTTTTATTTTTTACTGTGTATCTTTCTCCTCCTTTTCTAGATGACATAATTTGAGCCATATATTTATTTATGTTTTAGACCTATTGAAATTTATTACTTCAAATAAAACTTGTATGTGAAGAAAAGAATTATTTGACATTTTGGGGGGTGTATTTTTCAAGAGAATAACCCATGTAGAAGAGATTCTTTTTTGCTTCAAATGATGCTTGATAAAAGCTAAACCAGTCTAATGAACAGTAGCATTTTGTTTTGAATTTTCAAGTGTTATTTAAGTATAACAAGAATTTCATAACAATCTTTTCTATCTGTATGTGACGTTATAGATGGAATTTTGCTACCACTTGACTCACTTTTTCTTTTTTCCCACAACTTCATTGACTCAATAATAAGGCGAATTTAGTTCATAGTCATAATCGCTGATGATTTTATGACTGTTGGGTAAACTCCCATCGCTGAACCATAATTGTTTGTGTGCACAATAGCGCCTCCTTTGCTACTTCGGTACTCTCGCTAGACATAAGACTGATTACTCGCTCCTTTACACCTTCCATTGCTGGCAGGGACAATAGGGTTCTACCAGATGGGTGATAGCGCACCACCTTGCCGAGGTCATGGCAAGCCACTGCCAACGTAGTGTCATCTCTTGTTTGCAGAATGATCTTACCAAGCGCAACTATCACTTCGTAGTCGTTTTCATCAAATTTGTGCGCGTTATCAATCCAAAACTTTTCATTCATATGGACTGGACTCCACTCCAGGACACCTGTCAGAACCTCACCACGATACTCGGAGAAGCTGGTGAGGACCTCCATTGAAGCTTCTAACGCACCTTCAAGCCGCTGTATGAGTTCGCCGACGTCCTCATCGCCAAACTTGCGTCGTCTAAGCTGTGAGAGGCTTTTAAGCAATCCAACACTAACCATCTCGGAGACTAGGGAAACTCTTCTTCGGAGACTACTGTTTGGTTCGAAGCCGCCCATGCCAACCTTACCGCTGACGTTCAGCTTTCCCAATACATCGATTTGGTTATCCACCCATTGATTTGCAACTGGGTTGAGCATATGAGCAATGTACTTGCGCTCCGCTTCAGCCATATTCCAGAGGATCAGAAGGGTCATACGAACGCATTTTTCCTTCTGGACGCGCTGTAAGACACGACGAAGCTGCGGAATTATTTTTTCCCGAACCAGACAGACAATACCCTCGTATTCAAACGAAAGTAACCAGGCAAGGGTAAGGGTCTCGTAAATCAGCTGAATGATGCTTCCTGAATCGTCTGAGACAATCTCAGTCAGAAGACGCGGGATAAAAGGCACCATTTTTTCCTTAAAAAAAAGTCTACGGAACTCTTTCCGCCGTGCGATTAGTACACACCCCCGGACTACATACTGCACCTCGTCTAAATGAAGTATATCAGATGATTGAGCGATCCGGGCATAAGTAAAGAATGCAGCAAACGCATCAGCGTTTGCTTCGTATTCGCTGTAGCGTAGGGCTGTAGCCGCTAGGTACAGGGCCGGATTCACAATACTCAGATCCGTTGAGTTCAATCTCACAAACCGCATGAAGGTCAGAGGCGGGTTGGAGCCAAATTGACTAATGAGGTCTGCGCGACCTAGCTGAACCGCGAGTATGGGTTTTCGGGATACGATATCAGCAAAGAAATGGAGCACATAACTGAGAATGTGTGGGGTCTGGGCGTTGTTGCAAATGCGAAAAATGGAAACGGTTATCAGATCTTCTTTGCCAGAGATAAGATATTGTATAAGCCCCTCGTCAGAACGGTTAGAAAGGAGCTGCTCTAACAAGTTAATAGTAGGTTCATCAAGGAGCTCCAGCCCTCGAATCAGTTTAATGATATCCGCCGCATCGGCCGAGATTTCGGGCATATCGTCAAGAAGAATATTATTATTTTCTTCTTCCTTCTCCTTGTGTATGTATATCTTCCCTTTAGGGCTAGTGGAGTAAAGAATTGAATATCCGATGATTTAGAGCTGGCTGCTGCAATATTGCTAATATTATATAATGAAATATCGACGGAGACTCCTTTGGAATAGTAGCTATTCCTACTACGACACTTTGATCACTGTATATGTGATTTTGGAATATGTATATATATATATATATATATATATATACTTGTCTTCCTACTAATTATTCGTTTCGTCAATAGTAGATT